TTTTTTTTTTTTTAAAAATGGCCTCCTATAATTTTTATTTTACATTATAGTTCCATCATAAAGGGTACAACTTGGGAATAGCCAAATGGAAGAGACATATAGGGCACAGTTGAAGGTGAATCTTTATTTATTTATTTATATATTATTGGGAATTCATTGAAGGTACAAAGGAACAGGTTACATTGATTACATTTGTTAGGTAAAGACCCTCTTATAATTGTTGCCTGCCCCCAAAAGGTGTGCCATACACTGTGACCTCCCACTCCCTCCTCCTTCCCTCTCTCTGCTCTCCCCTTCCCTCATCCCCCACCATGTTCTCCGTCATTAATTGTCCTCATATCAGGATTGAGTATGTAGGATCCATGCTTCTCCATTCTTGTGATGCTTTATTAAGAATAATGTGTTCCACCTCCATCCAGGTTAATACAAAAGATGTAAAGTCTCCATCTCTTTTAGTGTCTGAATAGTATTCCATGGTATTCATATACCACAGCTTGTTAATCCATTCCTGGGTTGGTGGGCATTTAGGCTGTTTCTACATTTTGATGATTGCAAATTGAGTGCGATAAACAGTCTAGTGCAAGTGTCCTTATGGTAAAAGGATTTTCCTCTTTCTTGGTAGATGCCCAGTAATGGGATTGCAGGATCAAATGGGAGGTCTAGTTTGAGTTCTTTGAGGGTTCTCCATGCTTCCTTCCAAAAAGGTCGTATTAGTTTGCAGTCCCACCAGCAGTATAAAAGCGTTCCCTTCTCTCCACATCTATGCCAGCATCTGCAGTTTTGAGATTTTGTGATGTGGGCCATTCTCACTGGGGTTAGATTGTACCTCAGGGTGGTTTTGATTTGCATTTCTCTAATAATTAGGGATGATGAGCATTTTTTCATATGTTTGTTAGCCATACGTAACAAAAGACTCCATTACTCAGAGACTGAGGGTTTTAGGAGCTCTACCCCTGGTTCCCGGCACAGACCAAATGTATATATTTTTATTATACCCCAGTAATAGGAATGTATTTTGGCAGATTCAAGATTAGCTAGTCCTTTTAATCTCAGTTCACATTAAAGGGTCTTTCATTGGCCTCTGGAGTCTTCATAAGAACCTATAGGTAGAATATACACTCCACCTTTTCTCCAGAGTATTTGACAGTTTAAACTATTTTAGGCCCCATATTTTTTCTGTCTAAAAAGATGGAAAGGGCCAGGCATGATGGCTCATGCCTATAATCCTAGCTCTCTCAGAGGTCGAGGCAGGAGGATCATTAAAGTTCAAGAACAGCCTGAGCAAGAGTGAAACTCTGTCTCTACTAAAAATAGAAAATAGCCAGGTGTGGTGGCACATGCTTATAGTCCCAGCTATTCCAGAGGCTGAAGCAGGAGTATCGCTTGCGCCCAGGAAGTGGAGGCTGCAGTGAGCTGTGATTGGCCACTTTACTGCAGCCTGGGACACAGAGTGAGGCCCTATTTACAAAAAAACAAAAACAAAACAAAATAAAGATTCAACAATAGGCTCGGCGCCTATAGCTCAACCGGCTAAGGCGCCAGCCACATACACCTAAGGTGGCGGGTTCGAATCCCCAGCCCAGACCCGCCAAACAACAATGACGGCTGCAACCAAAAAAATGGCCAGGTGTTGTGGTGGGTGCCTGTAGTCCCAGCTACTTGGGAGGCTGAGGCAGGAGACTCGCTTGAGCCCAGGAGTTGGAGGTTGCTGTGAGCTGTAATGCCACGGCACTCTGCCCAGGGGGACAGCTTGAGGCTCTGTCTCAAAAAAAAAGATACAACAATAAAAATAATACAAATATAAAAATAATAAATAAATAAATAAATGGCAAGAACATCCTGTGGCGTGTGGGTGGTGGAGGGTGGTTGTGCTGTTAGGACAGCTGGGAGCCGGGGGTTGGGCTACACACACCCTGCCAGAGCATTGGCTGTATCATCAGGCGCGTCTGTGGTCTAATGGGAGCCTTTCTAAAGGAGGAAGAAGCCTGAGGGTGTGCTTTCTTACTCTCCCATTGCATGGTCCCGTGCTGTGGACTGTGAAAGAATCAGCCTCTGTGGGCTGCCATCCTCAAGTGGGGGCTTTGGATTGTGTCCTGGCAGCTACTTTGTCCTCTTCTTAATCCTGGAAAACCTATTCTGCCCTTCTCTGCCCCGCAGGGGACGAGAGAGTGGAGGAAGCATTTACCTGTGAGTTCAATGTTCTCTCAGCTGCGAGTTCTCTGGGACTTTCTTGCTTATGCCCAGGTAGGGGGTAGGGAAGTAGATGCCACCTCCTCTCATTTGCCCGAGTTTGGGTAGAGACGAGACCACGCTTTATCTGTTTTTGCATAAAGACTTCTAGGAAGAGATGAAAAGCAAGATACTGTGCCAGTCTGAATGGAGAAAAGCCCTTTTCTACAATCTTCTAAATGTAAAAGTTACCACCACCAAAAACTTCAAGAATAATTCCTGTGATGGGCCTGTAGCTTGTCTGTTTGAAACAGTAAAGAGGGTAGATGTAGGGACATACTTTCCCCTATGATTTGGAAGTACAGATTCTCACCAGCATGACTCTAGAGATGTCCCCACGCTCCTGGCTGAGAGGCTTGGGGCCCTTGCCTTGAACACAGTGGGCCATAGTCAGGTGCTTGTCTGGCTGAGATCTGAAAGGTCCTTCATATGTTTTGTTGTTGTTGTTGTTCTGTAAGGGATCTGAATAAGGAGGTAGAATTTCCTTGGTAACTTTATAAACCTTTTGAAACCATCTATGAGGCATCTAAAGGGGGTACAGGAATGGGGGGGTGGAGGTGGATACAGTGTCTTCACTCTCCTCTTCAGGTTTGATTTTGTATCTGCACTTTTTTCCTTGTTGTTATTCCCTAGTGGAGGATTACACTATCCCTCAGCTGTAGCACTGAAGGAGCTTCCAGATTCTTCTCCTTGCCTCCACTCCTCTCTAGTCCATTCTGGGCACTGTTTTTTCTTAGACTCTGGAGCTGACTCCATCGCTTCCTGTCCTGTCACTGGCCTCATGGAGTGAGATGGGCTTGGTGCGTCTTCTGGCCCCTCTGCTGGACCCTCCCCCCGACCCAGCTCCAGCCACACTGGCATTCTTTGCATTCAGATACCAGATCATCCCTTTGCAAACCCTCCATGGCACCCAAGGCAGCACTGGGAGCAGCACTGACTTCATAATGTCTAGGAATGAGTCTCTCCTGCTGCCAGGCCTCTGCTCAGGCTGATCCTTTACAGAGTCTCACCTGTGTGCACCCCACCCTTCCTGGCCACATTTAAGGTGACCTCCTCCAAAGCTTCTTCCTGGTTCCATTGATCAAAACACATCATTTTCTGCCCTTTATGTCTATGAATTAGAGTGACCATGATGTGCTCTGTTTGTCCATTCTCTAAAGTGTAGTAGGTTCCAGATGGCAGGGACCAGGGTTTTCCCTTGTACCTGTAAAGAGGGACTGGCCATCACTGCTTAATGTGTATTTGCTACATACACAAATAATCTTGGAGAATAGGAGCTGTGTCTTCTTTTTTTTTTTCTTTTTTTTTCTTTTTTTATTGTTGAGGATTCATTGAGGGTGCAGGAAACCAGGAAACCAGGTTACACTGACTGCATTTGTTAGATAGAGTCCCTCTTACAATTATATCTTGCCACCAAAAGGTGTGGCACACACCAAGACCCCACCACCCTCCCTCCTTCCCTCTCTCTGCTCTTCCTTACCCCCACCCCTCCCTCCTTCTTGAGCTGTGTCTTCTTTACCTTTGGGTCCACCATAGTATCTTCACATTGAAAACAGATCAATAAATGTCTTTTTAGGTTGTTCATTTAAATAGAGTTCATGTCCTAAGATCTTTGTGGGAATATCCTTTTATAGCTGAAAGTCCAAGTGTGCCACACTGTAGGCAGCCATTGAAGCTAGGTCCATGTTCATTCCAAACTATCAAATCGCATCACCATCTCCTCAGGTTTTTGAAAGATGGTAAGTAGGAAGTCTCACAGAAGCACATGTGCCTGTGCACAGAACAGTTTTAATATTGAGTCACATTATAGAAAAAAAAAAAAAAATGAAATCAACCCTGGCTCTGAACCCTGGAATGGATACTGCTAGACTTGAAATGAGTCTCATTTTCCCTTCTGTTCTGAAATTCTTTCCTTCTTTGAGACCAGGACCAGGAGTGCTATTTTATATCTGCATGTCTTATCTGCATGGATGCCAGAGATAGGTTTTATATCTTTAAAAATCTTACCCAAACTAGGTTTCAATATTTGCTGAGCGATTCCATTATTATTCTATAGGAAAGTAAAAGAACCATTACCACACCAGCTGTTTGTTTGGTCTTTTGGGTTATTTATATTTTACAAACGACCATTCATTTCTCTCTGGGTTTGACTTTTTTTTCAGAGAGGTTCCCCTGAAGGATGCTAAAGAATATGCTGAATCCATAGGTGCCCTCGTGGTTGAAACAAGTGCAAAAAATGCCATTAACATCGAAGAGCTCTTTCAAGGAATCAGTAAGTACATGAAATTGTGTTTTTAGCCTAGTTTGCATTTTTCTGTTTCTGGGAATCAAAGACTAAAACTATAGAGGTCTGAAGTAGAACCTGTCCTGCATGTGAGTTTATCTGATGCTGTGGATAGAAAATCTACAACTACGGATTGGTTCATTCCCTTCTTGATCAGCTTCTCAGTTCCAGATTTGAATATGTCTGTGCTTTGACCTGCTCACTCTCTGTTTTGTGAATTAAATGAAACCATCCTGTTACAAAAGTAAAATTGATTTTAATTAAAAGTTAGGCTGAGAGCATCTGCACACACTACCCATGAGGAGAGGAGAGTGGGTTCAATAATGTCAGAATGCTGAGAGAGGAGGGGGCAGGTGTACAAGACGCAGAGCCCACTGAACTGACCGTCTCCAGGCAGGCAGAGTCATCTTCATCCGCCTGATGCAAAATTGGGAATTGTGTGGAAAATTTGATTTGTACAAATTTTCCTCATTTCCAGTAAGCTAATTAATGGAAGGCAATGGCTTCCCTGCTCATCCCCAGTCCTGGGTCATGTTATGCTTCACCCTATGCTTTCTGGTTCCCCAAGAATGACCTTATCAGAGATGAGTTTCTCAGCTGATGTCCTCAGTCACTTCTGTCTGTAGCTGTCATGCTCCTGCCTCACCAGATTTCACCATTATAGATTCTCTGCTCATGTCATTCTGTTCTGGATCCTGCCAGAGACCTGCCTGCTGAGAGCCGTATGGGGACACTGTACTCTGAGCAGCCCTCTGGGATATCCCATCAGAGGGACACTGGGAGAAGTACAAGGGCTGGGTGAAATGCTGGCACTGATGTTCCTAGGAAAAGATGAACTCCTAAATAGTTAGCAGTTGTCCTCAAGTATCTTGGCTCCAGATAGTTCTAGAAGGGAAAATGATGGTTAGATCTCTCTTCTGTGTGAGGTCGTTGTTGGCAAAGTTCTCAAAGTCAGAGTCCATGGCTTCCCAGAACACACTGGATTTCTCTTTAACTGCTTTAGATCCATTATGCTAGACTCTGAGAACCCATGGCAAGGAATGTTTTGTTTATTTGTGTTGGGCTGATGGAAAACCCAGTGGAGATGGGGGATTCTAACCTGCCTTACTTCTTCAATGCAGAAATGAGCAAAAGAATGGCTCTGAGCATTTCCTTCCTCTTACCTTCCTTAGGATTTTTTTTTCTTGCTTTTATTTCACACTCACAACAGAAGAGTGTATTTCAAGCCCCAGAGAATTGGACTCCAGAATGCTAGGACACATAAAATTACAATTTTATGCAGGGAACTCTCCTTCCTCGCACTTCTCTCTTCTCTTCATGGGCAGTGTGTGCAGATGCCCTCTGGAGTCCTGTCACTTTGGGTGACATCTAAGTGTGGCTTGAACCTGTTATAATAGCGCCGTCATCTCCTCAGATCAAACATACTCTTTTCTGGTGGTGTGAGGCTTTTCCAATACATTTGGCTGTTAAATATGTTGCTTTTATGTATTGATTTCAATGAATGAAACTAGGTAGCTCCCGAGGACTATTGCATTAATACTTTTTCTTCTTAAGTGCTCGTATTTCTTAGAACCATCTCCTCAGCATTAGCTTTCTGGCCCCAAAAGACAGACAGCACAGGCAGCGGTGGTCAGCAGAAGGAAGCTCAGTCCTTGTATGCCTGAAATTCACCTGGAGATTTCTTCACCAGCTAAAAGACTTTCTGGGGTTTATGAAAGTCATTATTAAGATAAAGTATTAAGGGCTGTACCTGTGGCTCAAAGGAGTATGGCACTGGCCCCATATAATACCGCAGGTGGTGGGTTCAAACCCGACCCTGGCCAAAAACTGCAAAAAACAAAAAGATAAAGTATTAAATAGGACCTCAAAGAGAATAAGCCTGAGCAAGAAGCATTCTGTTAATATCTTAATTTGAAAGATTATTTGAATGGTTCAGCCAGTACAAATCCCCTCCTATGTGTGAAGTCTTTATGGTACATAATGGTGGGAATTTTGAATAATTAATTCCTCAGATCCTGGTGATCTGCTGTGTTTGGGCAAAAACAAGTGCTTTGCTTAAAGCACAGGCTTCAGAGTGATTAATTAATATATAATCCATCCAATACCTATATCCCCTTATCTTCCATATCAAATAAACCATTGTTTGTTTCTGTTTTATTATACTTTAGTTATAATTGCTTTAACAAAGAAAGCTTATAAATACACAGCCATGGCCGGGTACAGTGGCTCACACCTGTAATCCTAACATTCTGGGACAACCCTGTGCAAGAGTGAGACCCTGTTTCTACTAAAAATGGAGAAACTAGCCAGGTGCCTGTGGTCTCAGCTACTCGGAGACTGAGGCAAGAGGGTCGCTCCAGCCCAAGAGTTTGAGGTTGCTGTGAGCTATGATGCCATAGCACTCTAGCCTGGGTAACAAGAGTGAGACTCTGTCTCAATACATACATGCACAACCATGGCAAAATATCCATCCATCCATCCATCCATCCACACACACACACCTGTGAGCTCTGGTGCCTTCCCTTCAGCTCCTTACTCCTTCGGGTGAATTTTCAGATGGGGTTCTGTAGTAATAGCAGCCTAATATAAAATACAATTGCAAATACATCTAAACATACAGCAGCAGATTTTTCATTTATTTTCCTTTTTCCTGTTCCTACTTAGGTTACCCATGCTCCTTCCTGAGCTGAAAATAGAACTAGATATTGCTGATACCTCTGCTCAAAGCAATGTTCCGGAGACTAGTGTGCCTGAAGAGAAGATGTAGTGAAAGTCAAGGAGGAGTAGTGAGAATAAAAGCCCTTGAAAAGGTCCACGTAGACAAAGTGAATTCACACTGGCTTAGATGCAGAGACAAAGGTCTCTCTCTTATAGTCCCGGAGAGTTCATAAAAACAGACATGAGGCAACTGTCTTTTATGAGCATGAGCTAATACATTTTCTAACTTGAGACTGTTTACCAAAATAATGTGTCTATTTACGGACTGAAGCTACCCTGTAAAGCAGTGTTTTTCAATGTTATTTATCTCACGGCACCCTTGAACCTATAGTTAAATTTTCATAGTACACTTAAACTATGTTAATCTGAAAAAAAAAGAGTAAAAAAGAATATACTTAACTGTGCTTTGAACTTCTTTCAAAAATAATTTAATTTTAATTAATGATCTTTAAAAATTTTTCATGGCACACCTAAGATCCCCTTGTGGCACGCCAGTTAAAAATCACTGGTGTTGGCTCGGCGCCTATAGCTCAACCGGCTAAGGCGCCAGCCACGTACACCTAAGGTGGCGGGTTCGAATCCCCAGCCCGGACCCGCCAAACAACAATGACGGCTGCAACCAAAAAATAGCCGGGCGTTGTGGCGGGCGCCTGTGGTCCCAGCTACTTGGGAGGCGGAGGCAGGAGACTCGCTTGAGCCCAGGAGTTGGAGGTTGCTGTGAGCTGTAATGCCACGGCACTCTACCCAGGGGGACAGCTTGAGGCTCTGTCTCAAAAAAAAAAAAAAAATCACTGGTGTTAAAGACATTAGGTGCTGCTCTCTTTCAGATAGTGATCTGGGCCTCAAATAATTTGTTACCCTTTGATTGGTATCACTCCAGGTTTGCCCCCTTTTGTTTTTGAGAGATAGGATCTTACTATGTTGTCCAGGCTAAACTTGAACTCCTGGGCTCAAACTGTTCTCCCACCTCAGCCTCCTGAGTAGCTGGGACTACAGGCTCATGCCATGCCTGACTATTTTTTTTCTGGGTACCCTTTCTAAATCACATTTTTGGACCTAACTTCATTACATTTTGTGTGGCAGGCTAATTACCTTCCATGTATTTCTACCTAGGATTTATTCATTTTTTATTACTGGGTTTTTATATCTTTAATTTGGACATTATAGGTTTTCTCTTTGAATTGGAATATAAAAAGAAAATACTCTTGCCTCTCCCAATAATTGTACATTTGAAATTTTAAATTGGTGTATGAAGACACCAAGAGTATTCTGCTGCTGTTTATATGCCACAGTGTTACAAATCAAAATGACGAAAGCTCAGTGGCCTTCCATTCAAACTGCTTTCACTGCCCTTGTCTGTGTATCATAACTTGAAGGTCAGGCTACAGAGCCATGATGTCAGCGTATGCTCCTGGGCACATTTGCTTGTCCCAGCACCTTAATGAACGTCCTTCTTTTCTGTCTGCAAACTTTCGTTCATTTGAGGCTGAAAAAGTTCCAATCCTTTTCGTCATGAGATCTTCATCTGCTGCAACATTCACTGATGGTTTCTGCCTTTAAATTAAGGCTACTTAACGTTTGTTCTGTCGTTTTGATATTTGAACATATCCTATCTTTAAATGAGTCACCAGGTGTTTCAGGTATAGTGTATCTGTTCTTTTGGGAGGTTCTCGGGGAGCAGTTTTGGTCGTTCATATTCAGTAAGGCTGAAATTAGTAAATAGTACTTCTAGTAATATAGTACTGAATTCAGGGTTTGTATTCACATCTGCATCCTCATCTGACGAAGTTGTAGGAGGTAATAGTGCAGTGGGTTCACTGCATCAAATGAAACATAATCTCTTTTCTGCAGGGAATTAAGGTTGAATAATACCAAAATGCTGGACAAGCTTAGTTCCTCTTGATTCGTTTATTCCACACATATACACTGTGCTCTTTATGTATTAGATGCTGAACTAGACAGTGGGAATGTATGGTGAACAGAACAAGCTGCGGTGGAGGGGGAGCACCTACGGCGCAGTCTGGAGGTGCAGTCAAGTCAGTTATACACTACAGTAGACACGAGGAAGAAAGAACTGTGAGCGATTATGACAAGGGGTTAGATTGGGCGGGGAAGGCCTCCCCAAGGGAATGACTTTCAGCTGGACCTGAAAAATAATAAAGGTCACTTGAGCAAAGAGCTTAAGAAGTGCTCTGGGCTCAGTTCCCGGGGCAGATGTCCTGGGGTGCCTTTCCAGAAGAGCCAGGAGGGTGGTAGACTCCAGGAGCCGGTGGGAGGCGAAGGTTGGAGACTGAGCAGGCCTGGTGATGGGAAGAGGGTGACATTCTGAAAGCAATTGGAAGGCCCTTCAGCATTTTAAGCAAGGTGTGGCTTATCAGCTTACATTTACAAAAAGATCTGACTAGGAAGGAGGAAAGTCTGGGCAACCAACTGGCTCAACCAACTGGGATGTAAAGTAGTAATCCAGGAGCGAGGAGGGCTGGGTCAGGGTGGAAGAAGTGAATTGATTTCAAAAATCTGGCGAGGCACAGTGGCTCCCACCTGCAGTCTCAGCCCTTCCAGAGGCTGAGTTAGGAGGATTCCTTGAGGCCAGGAGTTCAAGACCAACCTGGGCTATATAGTAATACAAAAAGTTAAAAAAAAAAAAAAAAA